GGGGTCCTGCTGTCCCGGCCTCACTGCCTCGCTCTGTCATGAGCTCTCAGGCAGAAACCCACGCAGGTGCCGTTGAGATGCCCTCCACACTGAGGCCAACTCTGGCCTTGCCTTTACCCTCAGTCTGTAGGGTCTAAGGTCATGGTCACAGAAGGTCTGCCTGGCCCGTCGTTCCGGAGCCCCCCGAGGACAGGGCCAGGGTGGGACCTGCAGCGTCCTGGGCGGCGCCATCTTGGTCCAGTGGTGAGAATGGTTTGAGAACCTTACTGTCTCTCATTGGAGAAGTTTTTATGCCATTTAAAGCAGCACTTCTCAACCTTTTGACCACAACACACAGTAAACGGTATACTTTGCATCTTGACTTAGCGTGCGCACACATGTATTTCAGAGTCGAAATGTGTTACAGGAGACAGCAGTCACCCTTATAAAAGCCGCGCACGCACTTAGACTTTTCCCTTCAGTTTTATTTCATTAAAAGTTGGGCCCCTGCCGGTGTGGCTCAGTGGTGGAGCATCGACCCAGGCACCCAGAGGTCACCCCTTCGATTCCCAGTCAGGGCACATGCCCAGCTTGCAGGCTCGATCCCCAATAGGGAGCATACAGGAGGCAGCCAATCAATGTTTCTCTCTCTCTCCCTCTCCCTTCTCTATCTAAAAGTCAATAAAACATTAAAAAAAGGAAAAAGTTGATCACACCCTTAATATGAACCCAGCACTCTGACACCCTCTGTTCTAATTACCTTTTGAAATGCCAGCCCCAGACTCCAGAGTTAATTTCACAGTCCGCTAGTTGGCAGACACTGACTCAAGGCCCCTCAGTTATTTCTTCAGGAATCGTTTAAAGAATTAAGCAACACGGCCATCTAATCAGCTGATCTGCCATATAGCAGCTTTAGGTACAGGTTTAGGACGAGGATTCTCCAGATGCGTGGGTCTATGAAAGGATCAATTGGAGGGCGCTCTAGACCGCCTGGCCCCGCAGCACGGGGCGTGGGGCTCCGTCTGGAGAGCGTGCTCCACAGAACCAGTCCCGGGACTCGGGCTCCCCACGAGTGGGCTCCAAGGAACCTTCCGGGTGCCGTGCAGGGCGCGGGTGAGAGTAGCCAGGACCGGAGTTGTTCGATGTCCCAGCACCTGGAACCACACTTTCAGAAATGAGCCCTCACTTGAGATGTCTGGGGGGCTGGGGGGCGGGGAGGGAAGATCCTACAAGGGTCAGCTGGGACAGCCTATGGCCCATCACCCCCAGAGAAATGCCAGGTTTGCTTTCTCGGGCAGCCGCCCTCCAGGCAGCACCAGCTCCGCAGGATGGGGCTGAGCTATGCACACCTGGTTCTTTGGCCAGCCTCTGTTCCTCAACTGTAACATCAGCCAGAAGTGACCAGGAGGGCGGAGGGCGGCGTCACCGCACAGCGCAGAGGGTCTGGCAGGAGCGCCAGTGCCCTGCGTGGACACAGCTGTTGCCTCAACCTGTGGGCTGTCCTTCACTTGCTGTTTTACAGGCTCCGTGTGGGCTTTCATTCCCCGTGGGGTCTCCACAAACCACTTGACACGGGCCCAGGAAGGGGCTGCATGACGGGTTTCCTACAGTAAATGCCTGGGCAGGGCCCAGCACTCTGACCCGGAGCCTGCCTTGGTGCCTGGTCCCTCTCCTGGGTAATGGGGGCCAGCAGCGCTGCCTGCTGGACAAACGGAGCACTACAAGTGGGTGGAGCTGGGGCAGCCCAGGGACTAAATTCCCACAGCCCAGCCGGGTGTGTAGGGAAGGGGGCCTCTCTCTCTCTTGCTGTCCAAGGTCAGGTCCTTATCAGCAGGTCCTTTGCAGGTCAAGGTGGGTGGACCTTCTGGCTGGTGCCTGCCTTTGGGCCCCGAGTGTGGCAGCCTCCCCTCCAGCCCCCCGTTCCTCCATGCCAGGCGTCAAGTTCTTCCCCTGGACTGCTTCGGCCCCATCACTCCATCCTGGCATGTCTTGCCCCTAGAAAGCAAACCTGCAGACCCCCTTCGAGGGCTGCTTCTCTGCTCCTCCTTCTCACAGACCTCGCCCTGTGCAAGCCCGCCCTCTGCCACACCTCCCCTCGCTGCCAGCACCCCTGCCCGAGGCATCCCCTTCCTCTGCTGCTCCCGCGCCCACTCCTGCGCTGCATTGCCCAGGGCTGCTGACCGGGTATACGACTCGCTCCTCCCCTGGCTGCTGTGACCTTGCCCGCGGGCGGGATGCGGGGAGAGAGGCCTGGCCCTTACGCTGCCTCCCCAGCCTCCCTAGTAGAAGCCGCCTACCCCTCCCCCCAAGGCCTCATGGGGCGGCAGGCACTCCACTTGCAGAGCCCAGGTTCTAGCAGGGCCCAAGGACGTGGCCCCTGGGTCCGCAGTGGGCGCTTCCTGTCACGAAGCAGCACCAGCTGGATGGGGTCCTGGGCCTAGTTTCCCTTCTTTTTTGTTCTACCTTTGCTGCTTGTAAGTGTAGCCTAGAACCTTCTGTCTGGTCCAAATCAGGGCGGCTCGGTGTTGCCCGGGCTCAGCCCCTGTAAGAGCCTTGGGAGTGAAGATGGGGCGGGCGCCGGCGGGCAGGGTGGAGGGGCACCTGCGGGCAGG